CATGTATGGTTACGCGGTATGATTCAGAAGAAGATTCAGCGGTATGACACCAGGCTCGTCCCGGAACTGAGAGGTATGAGCTACGAGGAAAGACTAAAGGAGCTGAACCTGACGTCCCTGGAAAACAGAAGAGTAAGGGGAGACATGATAGCCACCTACAAAGTTCTCAGGGGAATTGACAGGGTGGACAAAGACAAACTCTTCAGCACGGGTGGGACACGAACAAGGGGACACAGGTGGAAACTTAGTACCCACATGAGCCACAGAGGCGTTAGAAAGAGCTTTTTCAGTGTCAGAGTAGTTAACAGATGGAATGCATTAGGCAGTGATGTGGTGTAGGCTGACTCCATACACAGTTTCTAGTGTAGATATGATAGAGCCCAGTAGGCTCAGGAACCTGTACACCAGTTGATTGACAGTTGAGAGGCGGGACCAAAGAGACAAAGCTCAATTCCCGCAAGCACAATTAGGTGAGTACTGGGCTTTGTGCACCTATAATTATGCAAAGGGAAAGAGAGATGAGATGGGGAACTGTTGGGGATGTTGGCAGAGAGGGGGGAAGAGAAGTGAGTGAGAGAGAGAGAGAGAGAGAGAGAGAGAGAGAGAGAGAGAGAGAGAGAGAGAGAGAGAGAAGAGAACGTAGGGGGGGGACCAAGCCTCGTCAGGTACCCCATCTAGTGATGGGTTAGTTCATAATTTATTATGAACTAAACCCCCCAAAATCCACAGACAACACTTAACACTAATATTAAAATAAATATCCAGATATTTTATACAAGATTAATATCACTCAAAATCGTAGAGTCAAGTTGCGACTACATTCGGGTCCCCGACGTGAACGCATCAGGCTACAGACATGGGGCCAGATTAACGAAGCAGTTACGCAAGCACTTACGAACGTGTACATCTTTCCTCAATCTTTGATGACTTTGGTTACATTTATTAAACAGTTTACAAGCATGAAAACTTCCCAATCAACTGTTGTTATTGTTATAAACAGCCTCCTGGTGCTTCGGAGCTTATTAACTGTTTAATTAGAAACAAAGCCGCCAAAGATTGAGAAAAGATGTACAGGTTCGTAAGTGTTTGCGTAACTGCTTCGTGAATCTGGCCACTTTCCTCCGCTTGCTATAGCACGGGTGTTGGCGCCACTATAAAAGTATCAATGGAAATTTAAGTGTCGCAGCCTAAAATTGATTAACTCAATCACATTGGGGGTTAAATTCTTGAAGCAAATATATATTTGCTACACACAGAAATCACAATAGCGTGATGCTCTCGAACGTAGGTTCGAATCCTCGTCACGGCCCTTGTGGATTTGTTCATTTATATGATTCTAAACTTTCCGCCACCACCCGCGGGATTGGTATGGAGTTTATAATGAAGTAGTTAAAGTGACTACGATAGTTTAGACGCCCCCCAGTCCACACGGCTGAATATAAAGGAAGTGACGGTTCTATGACGGACGGAAACGTTTGTCACTTTCTGTATTTTCAGAGGTGTAAGTTGAGCGTCTAATTTGCAGGCTCGTTATTGTGACTTACTGTCTGCATGCGGTAGTTACTGGCCTATCCGGACCCGCAGTTGGCGCATGCGCAGCCAGGAGGCACGAGGGGCCAGATTCACGAAGCAGTTACGCAAGTACTTACGAACGTGTACATCTTTCCTCAATCTTTCACGGCTTTGGTTACATTTATTAAACAGTTTACAAGCATGAAAACTTCCAAATCAACTGTTGTTATTGTTATGAACAGCCTCCTGGTGCTTCGGAGCTCATTAACTGTTTAATAATTGTAAACAACGCCGCCAAAGATTGAGAAAAGGTGTTCAGGTTCGTAAGTGCTTGCGTAACTGCTTCGTGAATCTGGCCCCTTTCATACGAGGAGATATTGACAATCAATAGTGCAGTTTGAATAGATTTACGCACTAGACTCAAACTAGCCCATGAAGAGTTAATTCTACGCTTTCTGGCTCGCATATGTGTTACAGGTAAGATGTATTAAACTGGCGTTGTTAATTATAGACATTGCGTTGTTAATTATAGACATTCTGATTCTTTGTTTACATTGCCGTACCGACTGCAAGTCACTTCGTACACGGGACGATAGGCCTATCGAAATCGACTTAATTCAACCCAACCTAACCTAACTTAACCCAAGCCTAACCTAATGAATCGAAGCCTAACCTAATACATCCCAAGCCTAACTTTACATACGATTTTAACAAACAGAAAACGATCTCTGTCGAATCGTCCTGTGTACGAACTGACCATACCCCGCCTTGCCTGGGTAGACAGACATGGTTACGAGTCGCATCGCACACAGGACGGTTCGCCAGTGGATTGTCCAACCAGTTGGGCTGGACGGTAGAGTGACGGTCTCGCTTCGTGCAGGTCGGCGTTCAATCCCCGACCATCCAAGTGGTTGGGCACCATTCCTCCCCCCCCCCCGTCCCATCCTAAATCCTTATCCTGATCCTCCTTCCCAGTGCTATATAGTCGTATTGGCTTGGCGCTTTCCCCTTGATAATTCTCTCTCTCCAGTGGATTTTAACACCTACCTAACTTAGCGTAGCCGAAGGTAACACACGCTTGTAACCCCGAAATCATCTCAAGATAACCTGAAGATAACCTCAAGATAACCTAACCTAACCAACCCCCACCACAGCTTTACATGAACAAATCCACAAGGACCGTGACGAGGGTTCGAACCTACGTCCGAGAGGATCCCAGACGCTGCCTTAATCTGAGCTACGACATGGTAAAAAGCATTACAACCGGGAAATCATCCTGATTTACCAACGGATCCTGCAGCCTCTCCGAGACATAAACCAGGGTTTTACGCAACTCCCCCATGCACTCGAGCTATGTCAATAGGCCGTTCTCCCTCTTCGCCCTTACTTCATTACACACAGAAAACACAATAGTGTGATGTATCAAATGAACAAATCCACAAAGGGCCATTTCTTTTTAACCATAGCACCACTACCACAGCAACACTACCACAGCAACACTACCACAGCACCACTACCACAGCACCACTACCACAGCACCACTACCACAGCACCACACTACCACAGCACCACTACCACAGCACCACTACCACAGCACCACTACCACAGCACCACTACCACAGCACCACTACCACAGCACCACTACCACAGCACCACTACCACAGCACCACTACCACAGCACCACACTACCACAGCACCACTACCACAGCACCACTACCACAGCACCACTACCACAGCAACACTACTACCACAGCACCACTACCACAGCACCACTACCACAGCACCACTACCACAGCACCACTACCACAGCAGCTACCACAGCACCACTACCACAGCACCACTACCACAGCACCACTACCACAGCAACACTACCACAGCACCACTACCACAGCACCACCACCACAGCACCACTACCACAGCAACACTACCACAGCACCACTACCACAGCACCACTACCACAGCACCACTACCACAGCAACACTACCACAGCACCACTACCACAGCAACACTACCACAGCACCACACTACCACAGCACCACTACCACAGCACCACACTACCACAGCACCACTACCACAGCACCACTACCACAGCACCACACTACCACAGCACCACTACCACAGCACCACTACCACAGCAACACTACCACAGCACCACACTACCACAGCACCACTACCACAGCACCACTACCACAGCACCACTACCACAGCACCACTACCACAGCACCACTACCACAGCAACACTACCACAGCAACACTACCACAGCAACACTACCACAGCAACACTACCACAGCAACACTACCACAGCAACTACTACCACAGCAACACTACCACAGCAACACTACCACAGCAACACTACCACAGCACTACCACAGCAACACTACCACAGCAACACTACCACAGCACAGCACTACCACAGCAACACTACCACAGCAACACTACCACAGCACCACTACCACAGCAACACTACCACAGCAACACTACCACAGCAACACTACCACAGCACAGCACTACCACAGCACCACTACCACAGCAACACTACCACAGCAACACTACCACAGCAACACTACCACAGCAACACTACCACAGCACACTACCACAGCACCACTACCACAGCAACACTACCACAGCAACACTACCACAGCAACACTACCACAGCAACACTACCACAGCAACACTACCACAGCACCACTACCACAGCACCACTACCACAGCACCACTACCACAGCAACACTACCACAGCAACACTACCACAGCAACACTACCACAGCAACACTACCACATCAACACTACCACAGCAACACTACCACAGCAACACTACCACAGCACACTACCACAGCAACACTACCACAGCAACACTACTACCACAGCATATCAACACTACCACAGCACTACCACACTACCACAGCAACACTACCACAGCAACACTACCACAGCAACACTACCACAGCAACACTACCACAGCAACACTACCACAGCAACACTACCACAGCAACACTACCACAGCAACACTACCACAGCAACACTACCACAGCAACACTACCACAGCAACACTACCACAGCAACACTACCACAGCAACACTACCACAGCAACACTACCACAGCAACACTACCACAGCAACACTACCACAGCAACACTACCACAGCAACACTACCACAGCAACACTACCACAGCAACACTACCACAGCAACACTACCACATCAACACTACCACAGCACCACTACCACAGCATCACGCTACCACAGTGCCACACTACCACAGCATCACGCTACCACAGCACCACACAACACTACCATATCACACTACCACAGCACCACTACCACATCAACACTACCACATCAACACTACCACAGCAACACTACCACAGCAACACTACCACATCAACACTACCACAGCAACACTACCACAGCACCACTACCACAACACACACTACCACAACACCACACTACCACAACACCACACTACCACACCAACTCCCCACT